TTATACAACTTCTTTGACTTTATTCGTCTATACTAAATTGCATCTATGGTGCTAGGACAATTCGTTGCAGGACAATTCGTCGCGGACAATTGGTTGCGGACAATTCGTCACATGGACAATTCGTTGCAGGACAATTCGTCGCATGGACAATTCGTTGCATGGACAATTCGTCGCAAGACAATTCGTTGTCGGACAATTCGTTGCGGGACAATTCGTCGTAATGATATTATCCAATTACAACTTTCCATTATTTCCTCATAAATGAATTGGCCTATTAAGATAAGTTAGAAACACATAATTCAATGAGTATGACAATTGTAGAGACTATTTGTAATCACTAAACTTTGAATTTTTATTTTGGGTTGTATTGTCATAAGAAATTCTGGTTTGATAAAAAAAATCGGATCTATTTTATGCATCACGACTAATACTGATGAGATGAAAAAACCTCAAATGTGAGAAATCATCAACACTAGTGTTAGCACTGTATAAATTATTAATGAATTCAAACTAGTTTAATTTTAAACATGTCAAATAAGAGCTGATAATTTTTAAACTAACACAATTTGTACGTTAAATAAGGATATTTAATAAAAAGATTTTATCAAAAGCTTTTTTAGTTATGCTAAAGCCAATCTTTGTTAATGAACACTAAGTTTCACTTCTTTTCTCAAATTATTGTTCCACGGGTCGTAAATTCTGAGCTACAATAGGAATTGAAAGAAAGATGCAACACCACTTCTGTTTCTATAAGAAAACTTTTACCGCTGACATAATTCAAAGAACTTAACTTTTTATGTGTACCAGACGATTATTGTACTGCTCGGAATCAAAAATCAAAGTTTAGTTATTATAAATAGTCTCTACAATTGTCATATTCATTGAATTATGTGTTTCTAACTTATCTTAATAGGTCAATTCATTTATGAGAAAATAATGATAAGTTATAATTGGATTGTATCGTTGCGACGAATTGTCCATGCAACGAATTGTCCGTGCGACGAATTGTCCTGCAACGAATTGACTTGCAACGAATTGTCCATGCGACGAATTGTCCGCAACGAATTGTTCGCGACGAATTGTCCTGCAACGAATTGTCCGGTCACCAAAATGAAAAATAATAAATAAGACTTGCGATACTACCAATTTACGAAAATAAAGAATGAAAACTAAGATTCTTCTAGTATTGATGTAGACAAATAACAAATAAAACTAACTGTTATTTATACTGAGAATATAGAAAATAACAAATGAAAAGAGCTATTAGCTAAATTGTCAATACAGAAAAATAAACAATTGAAATTAGTATTTTCTTTATTATCATTTTAGAGAAACAAGACAGAAAACTAACTGTTCCTATATTATCAATATAGAAAAAATATATAAAACTCTGATTTTCTGTATTATGAATATAGAAAATAAAAATCATAAAACAAACTATTATCTACCTTATCAATATAGAAAAATAAGAATTAAAACTAACTGTTATTTGTATTATAAATATAGAAAAATAAAGTAAAAAGTAAGATTTATTATATTATCACTATCGAAAAATAAAAAACGAAAATTAGGATTCTCTATATCATCAAATATAGAACGATTAAAATTAAATTACCCTTTTTCTTTGGTATCAATTTAGAAAAATCAGAAATGAAAATTAACCTTTTCTATGTTATTAATACAGGAAAATAAGAAATGAAAGTTACGATTTTCAGTATAATCACTAGAGAAAAATACGAAAGCAAACTAAGCACATAGATTAATCCTGTTTTTAACTATTATTCTTCATAGTAAAACTAATTGTATCAACAATTCTTGAATAAGTTAAAGAACAGGAGAGACCATACACCATCAGATAAGAACAAACAGAATCTGCATTATGTACTCTTATATGTTTCTTTTCACATGAATTTTAAATCATCTGAGAAGATCTCACAAGAAACATTCAGCGTGTACTTCTACATTTCTTAATCTTTAAATCTTGTAAGATTTTTGCTGACATCTTATGATAAGAATTTGAGAAAATCTTCAAAAAAGAAGAACACATGAAATTATATGATCTTCTGACAAGATCATAGAAAAAATCGTATAAGGGTAAGATATTATCAGATCCTGCATGATCTTGGTGTCAGGTTTTTCGACCTGGGTACGGTTGCGTCTACACAAAGATTGAGTAGTACATCATACATTTTTTAGAAACTATTAACATATTTAAATTAGTTGAAAACTCTGAAAAGATAGACTCGGTGATCATGAATTGCTAACAATGGTACACGAATTAATTGAAATGTATTTTGATGATCATTTTACGATTTTTCACTGCAAAAGACTAATTTTAATGATCAAAATGCTCAAAGTGGAGATCATATTGGATTTGAACAGTTTGTTTCCCATTATTCCACTTGACTGAGAAGTTTCAATAGAGAAATAGAGTCCAAAAGCTGTCCTAGTGATCTAAATAATACTCAAAGCGAAATAAATTCCAGGATTTATTTAAAAACAGTCATGCATTCCATCACTGAAATAAATATCTGGGTTCATTTCAAAACTACAAGAAATCTCAATAGAGAAATAAATCCCGAGATTTATTTCAATGATCCGACTAGGTCCTGAGAATGAAATAAATCCCGGGATTTATTAAAAAGTACCAATAAATCCCAAAAAAATAAGTTCCGGTAGATGCTGACACTCACACCCACATGAATAGTTTATGTAAAGTTAAGTTTTGGTCATATGTTCGATTCGTAAATGTTTTATCAGGTAGAATATCAATTTAATCTAAAATGAAAAACTGAGAAAATGAATTAATGTACATAAATATGAAAAGAAAATGAAAATGTCTTGAATAATTTTGTTTCGTCTTCTATTTGTCTCACTCATTTAATGAAAACAAATTAACACCTTATTGATTGTCTGACTAATTCGTAGAGACATACGATGATTTGCTTTATCGACTTTTGAAAAATTGTTAATTAAATTCCTTCTGCATTTGATTTGTCGACAAGAACAGTCCTGTTGATGATATCTTTATGAAAAACAGTAGGCCGTGTGTTTGTTACAAGTTCAATTTTTGAGAACAGTATTTTCTATTAAAGCGCGTTGTCGTTTACAGAACTTTAAGCAGATTAACTCATATAATACATTAATTATTGTTTGAAATGACGTCGATTTTTATCTATATTAATGAAAAAAAAACTATTTCATATTAATGAACTACTGATCCTGAGTCACATTATTCAACTACATCTCATAATATTAAACTTCAGTGATGTCAAACGTGTTGGTCAATGAGGAAATTCTTCGTCTTAATTCCATCTCGAAATTTTTTGATGGTTACCTGATGCTTGCCTTTATTGCTGTGGGAACAGTAGGCAATTTATTGAATATTTTTGTCTTCATTCGTCTCAAATCGCTTCGTCAAATGCCAAATACTGTCTTCTTGGTCGCCTCATTCGTTGGCAGTTTAGTATTACTATGGTCATCCCGTATTCCACGTTCTATACTTACTGTTACCAATGTTGATATTCTAGTCGGTTCAATAGTCTATTGCAAAATTCGATGGTTGTTTGGACGTTGGGGTCTCAACATGCCAATTACATGCGTGTGTTTAGCCAGTATTGATCGTTTTCTGATGACTTCAAGCAATATACACTATCATCGTTTCATCACCTTGAAACGAGCTTATATTATTGTGACCATATTCAGTATTGCTTATTTAGCGATCTGTATTCCCGATGGCATTTACTATTCTGGATATTTATGTACAGCATCAGCCAATGATCGAGCTATATATAAACAATTCATCACCTATTTTAATTTGATTGTCACCAATATTTTATCATTGCTTGTTCTTATCATTTTTAGTCTACTCACATGGTACAATTTTTGGTCAACGAGACATCAACGACGCAGTCGTCTTCAACAACAGGTTAATCGGATGATGCTCACTGAATTTACTATGGTATGTATTACCACACTACCTAATTTTGTATTCAACATCTATCAACAAGCTACTCAATCAGTAGTTAAATCTCAATTAAGATTAGCACAAGAAAATCTTTGGACAAATGGGAGCGTTGCTGTGAGCTTTACATTGCATGTGGGAACATTCTACATATATATAATTGTATCTCGTGCATACAGACGAAATGTACGAACAGCTTTATGCTTTAAAAACCAAAATCAGGTTACATCACTACAATCACAATTACGAAATGGTACAACAGCTCAAGCGTTCCGTACCATAACTGCTCGTCCATGATTAAACAGCAAGGTTTTCTTGTACATACAAAACTAGCGTTCATGTACTTGTTGTATATACATTTTGATTGATGAATGTGACGTTGAAAATTGACAATAATTATTTGTGAAAATCATGCACAATGTTAACAGATGATTGATCTAACCACTGATCAAAAACTAGTATCTGTCTTTTGTTTTTAAACGGTCACTATACATATGAAAGAGTGGGGGAAAAAATCTAAGGAACTTGGAAATAAACATGAACAAGAGGGGAAAATACTTGAACAATATCATAAGAATAGAAAGCTTGGAATACTTCAAGGTAAAAGAAAGGATTGTGTACCGCATCGCCGAAAACAAAATCGCAAAAAATTGAGATCACCAAAACTTGAGCCGAAACACACATGGGTGTGGCTGTGGGTGTGGGTGGGGTGTGTGCATGTGCGTGTGAACGAGAAGAACAGCCACCCACACACCCATACCCACACTCACATCCACACCCTACTCCAAAGAGGATAGGTAGAATAATATATCCATGAGGATATAAGTAGTGTGATGTTCTCACAAGAGTATAGGTAGAGTAGTGTACCGAAAAATGGTATTGGTCAAGTACTATATCCATATGAGTATTGATAGATTGACCTATCTATGAGGGTTGGAATTGAATGTTATATTCATGACTGGTTTTCTTCACGAATAGAGGTGTAAATTGTGAACTTTTTCGCGCTCTCTATCGATTTCAAGTGGTATCAGGTTGCTGAGGTCTAGTTGTTAGAAGGTTATGTTTAGCTGGAAATACCGGTAAGTGTGTTTACAGATGAAAATTTTCCTTAGAATGAGAAGTTATTTTGAATTATAATTCACTTATCAATATTCGACAGTATCAGTGATGTGAATAATGGGGGATACTATGAAGAAATCTTTTGCATACCTATTAGACGGTCGTGTATGATCATGCAAGATCGTTCGGTTCGCTCATATATGGATCTTAGTGTAATATCTGATGTAAAATTGCAGACGCGAAAATTTCTCGCACGATTGGCGTCTGATATTACAAGATCACACACGATTAGACTTTCGATTCCAAGATCTTACGTCTGACTTTTTGAGCTGGGATTCTCGATAATCCGAGTCCACCCAATCCTATTGGTTGAGTGCGGACCCAGAAAACATCTGATTGGGCTAGAAATTTAGTCGGAAAAGACCAATCTCTGCGACGAAGTCTGTTAGGCTCAAAGAGGTTTCCAGCTTGTGAAAGGTCAAAAGAACATTTTTTCTTCCTGTGCGAACGAACGTAACAACTCATTTTTCGTAAGATCCTCTTTGCCAAGTATGCTTCTTCGATAATTGTGTTTTCGATGTCCGAATATCGATTCCATTCTGTATTTTCTGGCTTGAAACATGGATCGGTGTTCAACTGCCATAACCATTCGATTTGTTGTTGTATTGATTCTGGCTTAGAAGATGTCGTTTGCAAGAGCTTCTATCTCATTTATCAGTTATCTGGAAAAAAAAGATGAGACACTTTGTTTTTGAGTATGCCTTATTTATTGGTATATCCTAGAACATTTACAATGAAATAAACTACTACGTATGTATAGACATTCGTGACGATGCGATTCACTGATTGATTGCATCCAGAAAATTCGAATATCTCCACTCTAATTCAAGCAAATGAGCTGTTTATTTTTGTTAATAATAGAGGAATGTTTAAAGTTTGCATTCGTAAAAGAAACGGCACTGGATGCTGCGTTAAAATATTATAATTTGCTTTAACAAGGAACAGTGATCTCCTACATGTTTCGAAAAAATTATGAACATGCATGGCAACTTTAAATTGTGATAGGTGCAGTTGTATCTAGACCATATTATACTAGAAATATCTCTCTATAGTTCGCAACAGAATTTTTAGCCCAATTTCTAAGCGCTGTCTGAGTTAATAAGAGTTTACTTATTCCAAGTAACTTTAAAAGTACAAATTTAAGTGTACTTTTTTGAAAGTCGTAAAGGACTATTTTTCGTTTTTTAAGTTGATAATAATATCTTAACGCAAAATTTATTGCTATTGCTCTTATCAATAAAAACTGTGAACATTTCTCTATTACCGACAAAAAAGCAAGTCGTTTGATTGAAATATAATGAAGACATTTGCATATTTTTCCATCGATTCACCATGAATCACATTGCCTGTGCCGTTTTGACGATGCAGCGAAATTAAAAGAAGATTTACAGCTATAGAAAGCGTGAGTCAGAAGTCCTGACTCGAAGATCTACAGTTTGGATGTTAGCTGAGAGAAGATTCGAATCGGCACCCACACTCTTTTTGCAGATTTGTTTATTGAAAAATTGTCACCAACCTTCATCATGGTTGTGTAATTTTTCTTTGCACAGAGAATTAAAACAAGCGAAGGACGGTGAATGCAACGATAAAGAACATACGTTACAGTAACTATACACAGACCATTTTTTTCAATACTGTTTTATATGAAAGTTTCGTGTATGTTCTCATTGAATATGTTCGGGGCTTCCTTCAAACTTTCTTTCTCTTCGTTTCATTCGTTCTGACTAAAAGTATAGAAGCGAAGAGAACAAATCAACAAAACAGTCGATAAAGGCATTGGTTAAAATATCAACATTTTGATTTTGATGCTCGTATACAAGGTAAATATCATACTTGTGAGTATAGTTCCAAACTAAACCCTAGGCTGTCAGTAGGTGTCTTCTGTTCATATATATATATAGCCGATACATACGTTAATGAAAATGAACGCATCAGAGTAGATATAACTTCCTAAGAGGTAAAATGTGGATAGGAACACCCACACCCTAATTTTGAACGAAAGCTGGAACTATTAGAAGAGAAGGTGACTAAATTTCAATTTACTCAATTTCGACGTATTCAACTCAAAAAATAGATTAATTCAATGTTCTTGATCGGCATCGGTCACAATGAAAACGGCGTCTCGTATTTTTTTCAACTTATCAAATCATGAATTTTCGCAACTAATTTACTTATAAAATTATACTCAATATGGGCGGGAAGGGAATTTTCGAAACTTCGATTGAAAGCTTACACTCACTAATTTCTTCAAAAATCTATGTGAGTTCCATAAAATATATATTTATCAACATCATATTAAGCTCGAATTCTAGTGTGGTGTCAGCAGAACGTCTGGACTTCGGATTCAACATTCCATGAGACTATTACAATATAATGTTCGAATATCTAGTAATTTACAATCAATATATATTGAATCAAATGTATTTCTATGCAAACATAGGAACTACACGATTAAAGTTATGTTATCTCGATGCTGGTGTAAAGGGTGACAAAAGTGACGTGTACAATGGTAATCGTATGTTAGTTTCTTCACACACATGTTGTAGTTTTAATATCAAACAATGTTAATTTGCTGATAACTTAAAGCACATAAGTGAAGTCGGTCACCAATGATAGAACGCAAAAGAGAGTGAAGAATTAGTTTTTTTTTTCGTTGACTTTATAGAACAAAATAAGATATGATACTCTTAATGCATTTTTTACGTCGTTTGTGTCGATATGGTAAGACAGCCGAAAAAGTAATGATAGTTGTATTTTTTATTCTTTCATTTTTACGCTTCGCTTAGTAGGTATTCGAAAAAGTCACACTGAAATATACATTGGTGAGTAAACTAAGCGTTATGATACGAGTCAATCAAGTACGATTGCATAAATTCTTTATGTAAAACTCGCAACAGCTGAGTAAAATTGATTTCCATCATTTGTGAACACATTGGCTCTTTTGGAACAATTTAAAAATGAATTTGAATTAGTTTATATATAGTTACAAAATTAATAATTTCAAATTTTTAATCAATTTGAAATTATTGAAAATATGTATTGTTAAAAATTTGCTTTTCTTCATTATTAGAGACCCATCTCTATGATATAATCATTGGTAGTTGAAACGCTCGATTTTTTCTCGAAATCAGGATAGAGATAACACTTTCAATCGTTCTCAAATGATTGAAATTAACAAGTCAAAATTAATACCGCAATCTCTGCAAGATCAACATGTGAAACAAATTGAACCAGTGGAATTGTACAAAGTGTCTTAAAAGTTACTATACTAAAAGAAATTTGAATACGTCCAAAATAAACTAATATTTATTCCAATAATGTGTCCACAGATTGTTCAGATATTGTGCAATTCCTAATATTTCATGTGATTTTACAGAGTGGAACTGTCAATACTTTTCACTTGCTTGTTAGGCTATCCCGATTCTTTTTTCTAGTGAACTTCTGTTTTGATGGCGTTTTTGCAAGCTTTTCGAATTCTACCGAATTTTCAAAATTCTCCAAAATACTATTACAATTAGTATGTTTTCTCCAATTTCTCTGGCTTCCTTGAGGTTTCACAAGATTTACATGGAAAACTTTGAGAGCTGCTACTATCTGATTACTTAAAAGATGCCATTTTTCTATTGAAGTAAATAGTGATACTTTTGACTAGTGTAAGTGAACTTTTCATTTATAAATGAAAACTTGAAAGTATTCTCTACCATAATACAAAAATAAATTAGTACACTTCATGAGAATGTGGTAGAGATAGTCGAATTTATTTTTACACATGTTGATACAGTCCATCTCATGGTCTGTGAGACAGTGTGGGTCCGATTCACTTTTCTCACAATATATGTCAACACTCATTTCCAATCATGTTTCATAAAACAAGATCTATTTTACACCGGGCATTACACATATTTTCTAACATTGCATTCTTTTTTTCTAAACGTATATGTCACAACAAACCCATGGTTCAGATCGAGTACTTGAAAATTTTTCTCAACAGTAATTGATTCAAGTAATTTTCATGATCTGTCAGATAATCAGTCAACATAAACCATTTTCCTATGCAGTTACTCTTTTCTTCAAAAACGAAAACAAAAAAAAACGTCGAAGATTGAAATTTTACGGCATACTGTTATTCACTACACTAAAAAAAATCAAAGGCTACGATGACATAGTCAGATTAGCTCATCTAATAGCACTGTTCTTGTACATACTAGTAGTAACTGTAGCAGTTAGTATAAAGATTACAAATAATCCGTGAAGACTCGAACATAATTACACGGATGTACTAACATTTTCATATGTAATTTGGCATTCTATCATGTTTTTTTCAATAGGTTTTGATTAAGAATGATAGAATGTCTTAAAGAATCGGTTGATTCAGATATGCCAATCGAAAACTCAGCAAGAAAGATGTCAGATTTCGTTTTTCAGATTATCATTAGAATGAAGTAGTGTGAAGTATGGGTAATTGTCCAACGTGTTTGCCGGAACAAGCAAATAAAAATCTTGATCCACTGTGTCATGGTAAACGAAAGTGGACAAGATTTATTTTCTCATCATTAACTACTTTTTTCTGTGGTTTGATAATTCTTCTCATTTATTATAAAGTCCAAAAATTGTTTATTAAACGTCGTCGTACTAGGCACTCTATAAAAACAAAAAATGTAAGTCGATAAAATAAACGAAATTCGATAATTCCATGTTTATATTATATCATTTTTCATTTATATATCATCAATACAGAAAACTGTTGCCGATGGTGACGATACTGCTAGTAGTCAATGTAACTGGATAGAAGACATGGAATACTGGGGAAATAAGATTATTTCCGGCAAAACCAAAATGGGCAAAATATTCGTTAGTATTTGAATTGATATGCACACTAAACTTTCATATCCTTTTTTAGATTAGCATTATTGTTGTCTGTAATATTGCGTCGTTGATATTATACTGTATAGATACACAACAGAGCAGGTAAGTATAATAATTCGCTTAAGCAGAGAATATCGTATTCAGAAGGAAAAAGTGTATTTTTATGCGTTCCTATTTCAAAAAATTCTACATAACAGTTTTAGATTCCTAGATGCTATTGCAACTTTCAAACTGTATCATACTTTTAGGCTACTGTGCAAATAAATTTCAAAACGATTTTGTGAAGAATCGTTTTTTTCTATTACAAAGAGCAGAAGATTGAAATAATATTACAGCAAAAAGGGAGAGAAACTAATGGATTGTATATGGGATCTTACGAGCATCAATCCTCAGCTTATGGTATTTGGTAGCAGTCTATTGGAAATGAGAAGATTTTTTCATGTCAAGCGAAGTCACTAGGATTCTAGCACGAGTCGATCGTAGTTCACCAATAGATCTTGACTTTCATGTTTGGGGATGATTTCAAAAGAAGTAGAATCTATTGATTCTAATTTTCTGATGAATTCGACAATTAAGATTTACACGAAACCATAACTAAATAGGCTCACATTTCATAGAACAATTCATAGCCATAGTTTTTTTTTGTATCCTTCGATCGAAATTCTGTCATAGAATCATGAGTTTTATTCTATCTAGTAGTTACATGGAATCATGCACAATATTCCAGAAGTCAATCAGCATGCAGATTGATTTCAGTCTCAACGTTGTCTTTCTTGTTTTTTTCATTTTTCGAGTGAGTTTTAACATCTCCCATTTGATTGATATATTTCTGCTGTTATGTTAGTTTGTTGCTGCACAGAATAAACTACGCTTTTGGATGAGTTTTTACTCTCTTGTCGACATTTTTACCATTCCACCTTCGTTTACGGCTGTCTATCTCAATCGAAGTTGGATAGGTAATGAATGCAATACTTTTTTTTCTGATTCATATAATTCATTTGTCTTTTCTATAGGATTACGATTTCTACGTTCGCTACCCATCATAAATACTCCGGACATTTTACAATACATGGGTATTGTAGAAGGCTCTCGCACGATTCGAATCACCCAATTAGCATCGAAATTCATTGCAGTTTGGTTTGCAGCTGCTGGTCTGGTGTATTTAGTTGAGAATTCAGGCGATTTCTTTTGTAATTATTGTAACGCACAAGAGTTAGATATTTTCAATGCAGTCTACTATATGATTGTTACCATGACCACAGTAAGTTAATATCTAAACAAGGTCAGAACACTGAAAATAACATTGTTAAACATTAGGTTGGATATGGTGATATTTCTTGCAAGACTTATCTTGGTAAATTTTTCGTACTTTTGTTTCTTATGAGCGGATTGGTAAATATCTGTTTCATTGTTCTCTATTCAACCATTGACTATAAGAATTAAGGCAGTATTTGCTACAATGATTCCAGAATTTTCCAATCTATTCGGTTTAAAAAGTCCGTACGCCGGTCGATACAAGATAGTCAAAGGCAAACAGTATGTTTTACATACATTTCCCTATATGCACATATTTGTTTTCTAGTCATGTTATTATTTGTGGTTATATCACACCACATTCGTTAGGTCCATTTCTTCATGATTTTCTGCATAAAGGTCGTGATCAAATGGAAAAACTCGACGTCCTTATCATTGACAGAAAAACACCGGATATCGAAATGGAAGCCTTACTCAAACGATCTTACACGAAAGTACACTATTTTGTTGGCAGTATTATGAATATAATTGACTTGCAACGTATACAAGTAAGTCATTGACATATCTACTGTACTAAATTGTTGGAATGATGTGCTTTAGGAAGTTTCATAGATTCATTCAAAATGATGTAGATATTGGGATACTTTACCTGTTAAAGTTAGCTTAATCGCTAAGATTTTACCACCATAGATGGTGAGAGATGGAAAACTTTGTTGAAATTTGACGAATGTAACGATCAGTTAATAAGACTAGGCAACAGTATAACAGCGCTTTTTCTTGAAAAGGCGAAATGTGATTCCTTAGTAGATTTTCATGAATGTATATACGTTTTAGAAATTTTTGACATGATATCGAGAGCAGAAACTATGTTATTGTATGATTTTGAGTAAATCTCACAATCAACAATAGTTAGTTACATTTTTCTAAAAAGTCTATTGTTGAAAGCTATAATAATATTTAGTAACAGTCTCACTAATATAAGAATCTTATTTTTGGACCGTATTTTCAATTATTCTCTATCTCTCCTAATAAAAATATTTACTTTTTTTCATGTACTAAGGCCGATAAGAGTACAGCTTGTTTGATCATTGCCAATAAAGAATGTTCAGATCCAGACAGTGACGATTCGGCAAATATTATGCGAGTGATCAGTTTAAAAAACTTCAATCAACGCATCCGAATACTTTTACAACTGCTTGAATATTGCAATAAAGTAAGGTGAATCTCTCGCATAGATATCGATGACAAGTATTGCTTTAGATGAATGTTGTCTCTATACCAGGCTGGAATGCAGACGAAGACGAAATTATTTGTATTGAAGCATTGAAACTCGGTCTTATCGGAATGTCATGTGTCGTACCTGGATTTTCCACAATGGTACCAAATAAAATCTAGTCATTTTTTTTACCATTGTTCGTCTTATTACAGATAACAAACATCTTTCGAATGTCGTCTTACAACTCTCAGGCGACTCAACGAAAGGTATGTGAAAGCAAATGGTTGAGAAATGATTTATGAATTGATCAACAATAGTCATTTTCTGAGATGTTTTTTTTTTTTTACTAACATTAATCTTTTATTATTTCATGTCTTTGTAGAACTCTTCCATAATGAGGCGACGCATAGTTTCCGTGTTAGTTTTCGATAATGAATAATCCTACAAGAAAATTCAACATATCCTTGTTGGTTCCATCGAAAATTCTGAGAATCTTCTTTAATGATGTTGGTGGGTGTAGGTGTGAGTACGTGCTATGAGAACATCTACAATCTGCCATACTGTTATTTCAAGAATACGGATCAGTTTCATAAAAGTATCGATACGTACGTATCTAAAAGTGTTGTCTTCATTTAAAATTTCTTCAATAACTTCGATTAATAATTTTGACCTGACAATCGTACGTGATGAAATTAAGTCGTTCATAAAATGATTTTGACATCTACGTTCATAAGTGCAAAGGAGCGTCAAAGGAAAAGTATGGACGGTTTCAAATACAATTTAGACAAATACATTGATTAGTATTGTTCAAAAGCTATTCAGATCTTTTTCCGTAGGAATTTTGAAACATTTCTAGAAATTTAGAACAATTATCGGTTTATTGAACTTCTGAATTCCTTAATCATGTTCAATGCATTCATTTACTATATACTAAATACGAGTTTGCAAACTGTAATTTTAAATGAGCTCCACAAAGCTATCTAAAACTATCAGCTGAACGAATATTTCACCAAATCAAACGATGATAGCATAGGACCGAGTGTTCAATCCAATTTCAAAGTACTATCTCTACCAAAAGTACCCATCCGATCCTGAGAATATACGTCATAAAGACTAGTTAACTATGGATTTTCACAATAAGCCCCAATCTGAGTTTCATTTATCAGATCATTCTTAACATTGTCAATGTAAAAATAAAGAAAACACATAAATGCACAACATGATTGCGTTCAATCTTTGTCTATTTTTTCGATGACACCAATTTATACAAAAGACAATAGAACAGATCTTCCAAGTAAATTACATTTTTCGAATACCTCTTCATAAGTATTGATTTGTTCTTAAATCAATATAGAACTATATAAAAAACTAGAAACAAGTTGAAACTATTGTTTTTTATCCACAAGCTAATGATTTCTAAGATTGATATAAAAAATTTTCCAAGACAGACTACGACTGAATACCATCAACTTGTGTCGGTTTCATTTAAAGAAAAAAAATGCATAACAAATTTACTTTTACCTAGACGTACGATTGGTCATGGCGTGATTTGTATCATCGAGGTGTTGGTATGGAAATGTATCTCGAAGAGATATCTCCATCATTCTATGGAAAAACATATACTGAAAGTGCTCTGTACGTAACTCTTCTTTTTCATGATTGATTAATTTTGATTATGTAGCATCTGTTTTAAACTTCGCGTTATGCTTTTGGCTGTTGAAATAAGACGAACTGATGAACATGGTCATATGCGATTGATTGTCGATGTTGTACCATGTGATAATTGTGTTATTGTTCGTGGATGTCGGGCATTTGTCGTAGGCATTTGTCGTGAAGATACTAGCCGGTTCGCTAGTTTCCTTTTTTTTTTAAACAGCGATCAATTAATGATTTGATTTTGTAGAGTGAAATACTACTGTTCAACTTGCTATCCAGTACTCGACAAGTTGACAGAATCACAATTGAAACACATGCGAAGATGTGCGCATCGTAAGTCGACATCAGTGACTCTTCTTATTCATGCATCCCATGATGTACCTAGTAGTGGAAACTCATGGTATACATGACAAAGAACGCTTGAGACCTGAGCAGTTGCCAAATGTTCGAAACAGTGAACATGCTATTATGTAAGTTATTTGAATGCTTGAAAATAGAATATACTTTTCTATTTTTGTCTCTGCCTCTCTCTCTCTTTATTGCACCTATTTATGTTCTAGTCGTATATCGGATACTGATGTCATTCAGCCTCTTATTTCGTCACAACTTGAAGAAAGAGATTCTCAATGTTTGGTTCTTAATGAAACGTATGTTGTGATTCATCTTTTGATTCGTTCATTTTTTAAATGTTCCATCGTTGTAAAATTGAGAACTGAATGTAATTAGAATGAGAGAACAGCTGTATACTTATACACTAAAGTCTTCTGAATTGGATTCAATTATCAGTAGTAAAGTTTCTGTACAGGAATCATTTGTTTAAAATATGATTACTCCATATTGTTGTGTTTTATCATACTGATCGCATCAAAATATTATGCTTTTTGTTGAGTTTCATATTATATGTTTTGTATATATTAATATAATTGTTCTTTGTTTACAGACTGCCTCAGGACGATGTTTCAAGCTTTGATGCTACCGGCATGTTTCATTTTACGCCATCACGTCACATCGAAGATGCAATTATCGTATGTTGTTATTAATACGAAAATGATGTGAATAAAGATTTCCAAACATTGATGCTGTTTATGTAGGATGCTAATTTACTTCGAGACTATCGTGCCTCGCTTCATGGAAGGAGTACCACACAAGACCAAGGAACGATTCTCAAACATCCTCTTTACTTTAAAGATCGTAAGTGTAATTATTCACAATTAAGAATCTAAAAGTTGCCTTGAACAAGATTCAAGAAGAAAGGACTACTGTTAATAGCATTCTACGTTGATTTAAATACAATATTCCAGAGATAAAAACCTTTCTAGATTTTTAAACATAATAGTGACATAGAAGTCTTGACTAGTGCTTCACCTATTAAATGGGATACCTTCGATTGTTGAGTGTAGATTTATTAAGAAATATTGCATTCAGATTAGATGCCTTCATAGATGAATACTCACTCATATAAGGAAATAGCATACAAATAATCTAATAGATTTTTAATGCTTCACCAATCAATGTCAATATCATCGTTGCAAAGACAGTCGAATTTTGAATTTTACATGGAAGCTAGTTTGCTAAGTAGATCCTTTGTCAAATTCAACTTGCTAGAAGTTGTTCATATTTTGTTAAGAAATGTTGTTCTTTTGCTTGACAATGTAATCTCGTTTGCAGATATAATCGTGTGTCTCCATGCAGACAAATCATCGCCGAGCATTGGCCTTCAAAATCTGATCATGCCTCTTCGTGCAAGCTCTTTTCGTCGTCACGAACTACCTACCATTGTATTCGTCACCGAACTCGACTATATTCGAAAAGAATGGGATATAATATCGACTTTTCCTAACATTTACATTCTCAACGTAAGATTTTTCTAAGCTCAGGAGAAAATAGCAGACTTCTGAACCCATATTATCTCAGATTCAAAGTGTCACAGAGATTTCTCCTTCGTTACTCCCAAAACAAAAGTATTTACGAGTTCAGAAATATGCTAATTTCATCTTGAATAGTTCTGATTCCGGAAAGAAAGAAATTTTATCTTGACAAAAAAATCACAGGGTTCGCCAAAAGATCCTTACAATCTAAAACTAATTTCAATCGAACACTGTCGTCAATGTATCATTATGTCCATGTTGGATCATGAAAATGTAGACAAGTATTTAGTTGATAAATCGTCGATTTTATCCGCTCTTAGTATTCGACAAATCGAGATGAAATCAGCTAGAACTATTTCAGCTCAAAATTTATCAAGAAAAAGCAAAGTCGACTCCGATATGACTGAACTCAAACTAATGCATCACAATCGAATTCCAACGCTGACCACACTGAGTAAGTCGTACGCTCTATCCTATACAAATAAAAACTTGTAATTTTTGTTGCAGCTATTGATTCGAATGTTCAATATGTAGAACAAGGTATTAGGACTAACTTTCCTAATTTTTGAATACTATTTGCTTTGTATTTAAGGTCATACAGACGAAATAGATCTACAATTCTTTTTAACTACTCCATTTGCATCAGGTACCAATAACATTCACTTTGGTGCTTTTCTTTATTCCATAATTGTCTATTTGAAGGTGCTGCTTTTGCTGACAGTGTACTTGACTGCCTATTGAGTTGTGTGAGTATCACTTGTTGGGATAAGTACCAATGTAATATGTTTACAGACAATATTTTGATTAGAAGATTAACACAGAAAAGAAAAAGTTCTATAATCAACTATGTATTGTTTGAGTAGCTTCGACAAACTCGTGATTTTAATTAGCAAAACAATAGCTAATTTGATATAAACCATTTGAAATCGCTATGCGTATACGATAAAGACTATGAAGGAACGAAGATCATTTTTTACACAGATGTATTTCAGAAAATTAGATATGTATCAGTATGATATTTATCTTAACTGAAACAGGATACATTTAAGAGTGTGAGATGATATTTGGTTAATCAAAATTTTACTTTTTCTATGATGTGCAGCGTACATTTTTATAGTTTTACCATAATTCCAACTAAAAATGAACTACTTGAGGATTCATGGTCAATGGTTCTACATATGTGTATTGTAAATAGTTTTCTAGAATTCTAGTAAATCTCAGAGTAACTTGTCTTCACAAAAATTCATCTTTTTACCATATGTAATTTATCATCAGTCACCATTTTAGTCTTTTCGGTTAAAAATCAATCGTTTTCCCAACTTTCATTATATTAAAGCAAAATTCTCGTGTTGTTCAACATGTTGCACAATTAACACATCTTATTCTTCTTAGACTTATTACAATGGTAATGTCGTCAACCTTCTTCGAAACATTCTACTCGGTGACTTCGATCTACAATTGGAAGAAATTCTAGCTGAAAACAAACGCTTCATTCAATGTGAAACACCAGAAATACTTCGAAAGCGAAACCGAGCACGAGTAGCCATGGTCGACATTCGCACTCTCATCCCAGATATTGATTCAAGAGTAGAGTTTCTATTATTTTATATTAATGTTAAAATATATCATTGTTTGATTTAGTCGGTGCCAGTCACATTCGATACACTCTTCTGTGAATCGCTTGAACGTTATCGTATGGTTGTCATGGGCATTTATCGTCTGTTGGATTTACTTCTTCAGCACGATTCAAGCTCGCAAAATAATAAATCAGAAGGTAGCTCTAAACGTATCGTCATTTATTATCCACCGTACGATTATCAGATGCATTCATCGGACATGGTCTGTGCTTTAGATCTACAGTTATTTTCAATCACATTCTTTATAATTATGTTCTAGGTTTATGTCATGCAACATTCACATCGGAAAGCCGATTCCTAATTTTTTCACAGCATTTCTTATCATGTTGAGGTCTAGATCATTCTTTAGTTCGTTCAAATGACTTGATGTGTTTGTTCATAAATTTAATTTTCTTTTATTTAGACAATAAAAATGACCTCGCAATGAAAATAACCAACATAAATATTTTGTCCATTCTGTGTA